TTTATATACCCTTTGTTGGCAATGACACAGGTCAAACGTTTTCTGTAAGTCTTCACAAGGTTTTCACACACTGTTGCTGGTATTTTGGCACATTGCTCCATGCAGATCTCCTCTAGAGCAGTGATGTTTTGGGGCTGTCGCTGGGCAACACGGACTTTCAACTCCCTCCAAAGATTTTCTATGGGGTTGAGATCTGTAGACTGGCTAGGCCACTCCAGGACCTTGAAATGCTTCTTACGAAGCCACTCCTTCGTTGCCCGGGCGGTGTGTTTGGGATCATTGTCATGCTGAAAGACCCAGCCACGTTTCATCTTCAATGCCCTTGCTGATGGAAGGAGGTTTTCACTCAAAATCTCACGATACATGGCCCCATTCATTCTTTCCTTTACACGGATCAGTCGTCCTGGTCCCTTTGCAGAAAAGCAGATGTTTCCACCCCCATGCTTCACAGTAGGTATGGTGTTCTTTGGATGCAACTCAGCATTCTTTGTCCTCCAAACACGACGAGTTGAGTTTTTACCAAAAAGTTCTATTTTGGTTTCATCTGACCATATGACATTCTCCCAATCCTCTTATGGATCATCCAAATGCACTCTAGCAAACTTCAGACGGGCCTGGACATGTACTGGCTTAAGCAGGGGGACATGTCTGGCACTGCAGGATTTGAGTCCCTGGCGGCGTAGTGTGTTACTGATGGTAGGCTTTGTTACTTTGGTCCCAGCTCTCTGCAGGTCATTCACTAGGTCCCCCTGTGTGGTTCTGGGATTTTTGCTCACCGTTCTTGTGATCATTTTGACCCCACGGGGTGAGATCTTGCGTGGAGCCCCAGATCGAGGGAGATTATCAGTGGTCTTGTATGTCCTCCATTTCCTAATAATTGCTCCCACAGTTGATTTATTCAAATCAAGCTGCTTACCTATTGCAGATTCAGTCTTCCCAGCCTGGTGCAGGTCTACAATTTTGTTTCTGGTGTTCTTTGACAGCTCTTTGGTCTTGGCCATAGTGGAGTTTGGAGTGTGACTGTTTGAGGTTGTGGACAGGTGTCTTTTATACTGATAACAAGTTCAGGCTGACTAAATACTTTTCTCCCCCCACTGTAACAGTAGTAGGCCTGATTAACAAAAATTACGAGACTGCCTACAGGGAGGAGGTGAAGGCCCTGGCGGAGTGGTGGCAGGAAAACAACCTCTCCCTCAACGTCAACAAAGGAGCTGATCGTGGATTTCAGGAAACAGCAGAGAGAGCACGCCCCTATCCATATCAACGAGGCCGCAGTGGAGAAGGTGGAAAGTTTCAAGTTCCTCGACGTACACATCACTGACAATCTGAAATGGTCCACCCACACAGACAGTGTGGTGAAGAAGGCGCAATAGCGCCTCTTCAACCTCAGGAAGCTGAAGAATTTCGGCTCTGCCCCTAAGACCCTCAGAAACTTTTACAAATGCACAATTGAGAGCATCCTGACAGGCTGTTTCACCGTCTGGTACGGCAACTGCACTGCCCACAACCGCAGGGCTCTCTAGAGGGTTGAGCGGTCTGTACAACGTATCACCGGGGGCACACTGCCTGGCCTCCAGGACACCGGCAGCACCCAATGTCACAGCAAGGCCACAAATATCAAAGAAATCAACCACCCTAGCCACAGCCTGTTCACCCCGCTATCATCCAGAAGGCTAGGTCACTACAGGTGCATCAAAGCTGTGACCGAAAGACAGAAAAACATCTTCTATCTCAAGGCCAATAGACTTTTAAATATCCATCACTAGCCGGCTACCACCCGGTTACTCAACCCTGCACATTAGAGGCTGCTGCCCTATATATTTGATCCCCTGCTGATTTTGTATGTTTGCCCACTGACAAAGAAATGATCAGTCTATAATTTTAATGGTAGGTTTATTTGAACAGTGAGAGAGAATAACAACAACAAAATCCTGAAAAACGCATGTCAAAAATGTTATAAATTGATTTGCATTTTAATGAGGGAAATAAGTACTTGACCCCATCTCAATCAGAAAGATTTCTGGCTCCCAGGTGTCTTTTATACAGGTAACGAGCTGAGATTAGGAGCACACTCTTAAAGGGAGTGCTCCTAATCTCAGCTTGTTACCTGTATAAAAGACACCTGTCCACAGAAGCAATCAATCAATCAGATTCCAAACTCTCCACCATGGCCAAGACCAAAGAGCTCTCCAAGGATGTCAGGGACAAGATTGTAGACCTACACAAGGCTGGAATGGGCTACAAGACCATCGCCAAGCAGCTTGGTGAGAAGGTGACAACAGTTGGTCCTCTGTGGTCCTCTGTAGCTCAGCTGGTAGAGCACGGCGCTTGTAACGCCAAGGTAGTGGGTTCGATCCCCGGGACCACCCATACACAAAAAAAATGTATGCACGCATGACTGTAAGTCGCTTTGGATAAAAGCGTCTGCTAAATGGCATATTATTATTATTATTATTATTATAGTTGGTGCGATTATTCGCAAATGGAAGAAACACAAAATAACTGTCAATCTGGGGCTCCATGCAAGATCTCACCTCGTGGAGTTGCAATGATCATGAGAACGGTGAGGAATCAGCCCAGAACTACACGGGAGGATCTTGTCAATGATCTCAAGGCAGCTGGGACCATAGTCACCAAGAAAACAATTGGTAACACACTACGCCGTCAAGGACTGAAATCCTGCAGCGCCCGCAAGGTCCCCCTGCTCAAGAAAGCACATATATAGGACAGTCTGAAGTTTGCCAATGAACATCTGAATGATTCAGAGGAAAACTGGGTGAAAGGGTTGTGGTCAGATGAGACCAAAATCGAGCTCTTTGGCATCAACTCAACTCGCCGTGTTTGGAGGAGGAGGAATGCTACCTATGACCCCAAGAACACCATCCCCACCGTCAAACATGGAGGTGGAAACATTATGCTTTGGGGGTGTTTTTCTGCTAAGGGGACAGGACAACTTCACCGCATCAAAGGGACGATGGACGGGGCCATGTACCGTCAAATCTTGGGTGAGAAACCTCCTTCCCTCAGCCAGGGCATTGAAAATGGGTCGTGGATGGGTATTCCAGCATGACAATGACCCAAAACACACGGCCAAGGCAACAAAGGAGTGGCTCAAGAAGAAGCACATTAAGGTCCTGGAGTGGCCTAGCCAGTTTCCAGACCTTAATCCCATAGAAAATCTGTGGAGGGAGCTGAAGGTTCGAGTTGCCAAACGTCAGCCTCGAAACCTTAATGACTTGGAGAAGATCTGCAAAGAGAAGTGGGACAAAATCCCTTCTGAGATGTGTGCAAACCTGGTGGCCAACTACAAGAAACGTCTGACCTCTGTGATTGCCAACAAGGGTTTTGCCACCAAGTACTAAGTAATGTTTTGCAGAGGGGTCAAATACTTATTTCCCTCATCAAAATGCAAATCAACCTACAAAAATCGAAATGTGTTTTTCTGAATTTTTGTTGTTGTTATTCTGTCTCTCACCGTTCAAACAAACCCACCACCAAAATTATAGACTGATCATGTCCCCGTCAGTGGGCAAACGTACAAAATCAGCAGGGAATCAAATACTTTTTTCCCTCACTGTACAGCATTCTACTGTATTTTAGTCAATGTCACTCCGACATTGCTCGTCCTAATATTTATATATTTCTTAATTCCATTATTTTACTTTTTAGATTTGTGTATTGTTGTGAATTGTTAGATACTACTGCACTGTTGGACCAAGGAACACAAGCATTTCGCTACACCCGCAATAACATTTCCTAAATATGTGTATGTAACCAATTACATTTTATTTGAAGTACAGAGAGATCCTTGATGAAAACCTCCTCCAGAGCACTCAGGACCTCAGACTGGGGCGAAGATTCACCTTCCAACAGGACAACGACCCTAAGCACACAGCCAAGACAACGCAGGAATGGCTTCGGGAAAAGTCTCAATGTCCTTGAGTGGCCCAACCAGAGCCCAGACTTGAACCCAATCTAACATCTCTGGAGAGACCAGAAAATAGCTGTGCAACGACGCTCCCCACCCAACCTGACAGACCTTGAGAGGATCTGCAGAGAAGAATGGGAGAAACTCCCCAAATACAGGTGTGCCAAGCTTGTATTGTCATACCCAAGAAGACTTGAGGCTGTAATCGCTGCCAAAGGTGCTTCAACAAAGTACTGAGCAAAGGGTCTGAATACTTAAGCAAATGTAATATTTCAGTTTTACATACATTTGTAAAAATATCTAAACAGTTTTTGCTTTGTCATTATGGGGTATTGTGTGTAGATTGATGAGGAAAAAAACGATTTAATCAATTTTAGAATAAGGCTGTAACGTAACAAAATGTGGAATAAGTCAAGCGGTCTGAATACTTTCCGAATGCACTGTAGTGTTATATATGTGTTGACCTTTCATTTTAGTCTGATAGTTTGTATTGCTCTCTGTTGGAGAGTATAGGTTCCTTATACAAACCCCTCATTTTTTATTTGTACATGTGTCTTGTTCTAGTAGAATTACATCTATATGTACTGTTCTCTCTGATATGACATCTAGTGGCCCTTTGGTTTACTTTAGATTACAACAGGTGTGTGTAATTATCTCTGGCTTGCTAAGGCTGCCCAAGTCTGATCTTTTTCCCATTCATTGGTCATTTGACCAATCAGATCAGCACAAAAAAAAATTCTGATGTGATTGGTCAAAAGACCAATTAGTAAAAAAAAAACTAACAGAATTGGTCTGAATAAACGCAGCGTTAGTGGCCTTATCTGTCCCACTGTTTGTAGAGATTTGCTCTGATGAAGGTTGAATGATCGAAAGCCAATAAAGAAATTTGAATCGGTTTCTTTTTTTTCCTGTTTCTTAAGTCAGTAAATTCTAGAACCTATTTTCATACATTCAAATAACTTCCTGGTTTTCGTGACACAGACACGTCTTTATCCATGTACAGTAAAAGTAAATAAAAACATATTAATTGAGTAGAACTGTATGAAGATATCAGAAGATCTACATACAAACCTATTCTACATAGTTTTATCTCCGGTGAGATCCGCAGCAGTCTCCGTAGTCGATCATTCTCCTCCTGGTACACCGCTACTGTTTTTGCAAATGCCCCGGAAATCTCCACAGCAGCAAACGCCGTTAAACGCTCATTTAAAAACTCTCGAAACAACTGTAGTTTAGACATTTTCAGTCGACTGAGAGTTGGGTATTCAGCTAGTATGGCTTCTTGAAGCGGGTCCTCCAGATCACATTCACTTTTCACACAAGGAGGAGTGAATATGAACTCTATGATATTAGCCTCCAGCCCTTGAAGCTGCTCTTCCTCCTGACTGGTCCTGAGTTCCTCCTGTTCCTCTTTAATCTGAATGGGCACTGGGTCCTCCTGCCCCAGACTGGGGCTCCACTCCTGCTCACAGTGCTGCTGCTCAGGGGGAACCTCCTCTTCAGAGACAGAGAGAGAGAGCTGCAGGGAGTCTGGAGGGAAGGAGAGGGGGAGCAGAGGTTACCACAGTCCCCAAATCCAGAACTAATTCCAGAAAGCGTCCAGTATTATATAGAGCCATTGTTGCATGGAACTCTGTTCCATCTCATACAGCTCAAATAAACAGCAAACCTGGTTTAAATAAAACTGATAAAGCAACACCTCACGGCACAACGCCTCTCCCCTATTTGACTTAGATATGTTGTGTGTATGTATTGATATGTAGGCTACGTGTGCTTTTTTTAAACATTTATGTATTTCTGTCCTTGAGCTGTTCTTGTCTATTAATGTTCTGTATTATGTCATGTTTCATGTTTTGTGTGGACCCCAGGAAGAGTAGCTGCTGCTTTTGCAACAGCTAATGGGAATCCTAATAAAATACCAAATTACAACAGTGTGAGTCATAATACCCACAAAACCTAACGGTCAAACAGGGAAATGATTTTTCCCATAAGGGATTTTACAATGACTTAAAATAAGGACTGTGTTTCATGTACGCTTACCCTGGCGTGACGTTTTGATAACTGTGTAAATCTCTCTAGGACAAGGTGACTTTTATCAATATATTCACTTCTATTCATCCCCAAAAAATGAAATGCTAATTAGCTCCTAATGTGGCTATCATAAAGAACTACAAACGCCATGATGATCTGGACGAGACTGCCGAATCGAGACAAAGGAAAGAATCTCTGGATGAACTATCTAATGTTATCTAAATGTAGTAATGAATAAATTGTTTACATTTCTTTAAATGGACAATTCTGTGGACAAAATACCTGATCGCAAAGGTGTCAGTAAGAGATGACGTGCAGGCGCTTGCAGGGATTTGTAGTTTTGTATTATGTCTACTTTGATGCTAATTAGCATTTTCGAATCAGAGTAAATAGAGCCGAATATCAGCGGAGGCTCCTCAGAGCAAGGGGAAGACCATCCTCCTCAGTGAATTTCATAAAAAATAGTGAAACATTAAAAAAGTTATCCTTTTTAGATAAAACTATACTAAATATTTTAATTTATACATTTTTGAATTATATATTACAATCACTTCCTGTTTTTAGGACAATGTTTTATCCATGCACGGTAAGTTTAAAAACAACTTCTTAAAAATGGATGAAGTGGTGATCAGTTAACAGTTCATCAATAACGTGGAACTATAGCTAGCTATCAGTATCTACATACGAACCTATTCGACATAGTTGTATCTCCGGAGTCAAACGCAGCATTCTCCGCAGCTGATCATTCTCCTCCTGGTACTCCACTACCGTTTTCTCAACTGCCCCGAAAATCTCCACAGCAGCCACCGTTAAACGCTCATTTAAAAACACACGCAACAACTGTAGTTTAGACATTTTCAGTCAAATTAGAGTTGGGTAGCCTATTTAGCTTAGTCAGTATTTCTTTCCTTACGCCACACAAGGAACGGATTATATATTATTTTAACTCGTTACCAATCCTACTTCTAGTGAAGGAATCTAAGGACATCCTTTGTTCTAGTAGTTGGTGACGAACCCCAACAGCGCCGCCAGCTGGATGGGAGTTTACTGTGCAAGGCTGCCTACAGACCAGTAGGAAAGGAAAACGATGACTACATGTAGATAAACAGTGGTTATCATTACTATAGGATGATCTGGGGGAATCAATTCTTCATCAGGAGTCAACTGTTTATATCATTACTCCATACAAGATTAAATCAACATCATGAATGAGCAGCATTAGGTCAGAATTTATGAGAAATACTCTTGGACAAATACAAGGAGACCTTTTCTGGATTTTGTTTTTCATTTAATGTATCAATTACATCAGCCTGACCAAAATCAAATGACCAGATATTCCTGTTCAAATCAAGGGAAAAATTAAACAGAATTTGAACAGCAGACCTGTGAATTTCCTACAATACTCTGTACTGTTTGATCATTACCTAATAATTCAAATCACATCAAACTTTATTTACATGCAATGTTTTACGACATTAAATCCATCAGATATCTATTTATCTGAGACCCACAGTATGAATGGTCTGGAGTTGCTCTCCTTTCCTAAGAGTGTTGTCCACATCCTGCCTTGTTATTCCCATTTCCTGACTGAAGATGTTCTTTCTTCTTTCCTCTCTTTGTGGATATTATCCATATGCTTCAGCAGATGAGTCTTCTGAGTGAATCTTTTACCACAGAATGAGCAGCCATGTTGTTTCTCTCCTGTGTGAGTCCATATGTGCAAGTTCAGGTTCCCCTTCCGATTGAAAATGTTCAAAGTCGGCAAAAAAGCCTAATTCAATTTTTGCCATTAGCAGTTACATTCACCAACGCTCTGGATAACATGAAAACAGCCTAACCAGCTCTGCTAGGGCGAGTGAAATGGTCAGAGTGAGGTGTTCTCTCATTTGTGTCTGGAAGTAGCTAGCCAACGTTATCCAGAGCGACTTACATGAGCAATTAGGGTTAAGTGCCTTGCTTAAGGGCACATCGACAGATTTTTCACCTAGTCGGCTCGGGGAATAGAACCAGTTACTGGCACAACGCTCTTACCCACAAAGCTACCTGCCGCCCTCGGCCAGAGCATCAAGAATTCGCTCTGGCACTCCAGATTAAATTTACGAACACACCCTAAAAATGACAGGAATAATCAAGTCAATAAACTTTGGGTAGTTAGTAAATTAGCATATAGTTAATATACTCGCAAGTTTTATGTATTAGTAGCCAACTAACGGTAGGTAGGTAGATAACATACCGGTACACATACCGCTGTAATGATATGCTATGTGGTTCGTAAGGATAGCGTAGCTAACAAATTGTCAGCCAACGTAACTTATTCTTAAAGTAATTACTTTATTACATTGCTCAACATTTGTCATAATTTGTTCAAGCAATGAATTTGTATCTTCTCTCGTCGGACTTCGGCTGCATATTTTCCGCCATTTTCTTCAAATCTGAAAACATTGTGAAGCCACGCCCATTTCTGGAAGAATTGCATTATGGGCCCAAAAAGTACAGAAACAGTGTCCACTGCTTGTATACTTCGTATTTTGGCTAATATAGAACAACATCAGGGAACTTTTAGCATATTAATTATATCCATACTATGACCAATAAGGGTACTACATACCAGTGGAGGCTGCTTAGGGGAGGACGGCTCATAATAATGTCTGGAATGGAGTCAATTGAGTGGTATCATCCACATGGAAACCACTTGATGTGGTAGATGCCATTCCATTGACTCAATTCCAGCCATTATTATGAGCCGTCCATATGTGGGAACTCCTTACGTTTACATTTACATCATTTAGCAGAAGCTCTTCAAGACTGTTTGAAAAGCATTCCAGATTAAGCTGGTTAAGAGAATGCCAAGAGTGTGCAAAGCTGTTATCAAGGCAAATGGTGGCTACTTTGAAGAATCTCAAATATAAAATACATTTTGATTTGTTTAACAATTTTTGGTTACTACATGATTCCTCTGTAGCTCAATTGGTAGAGCATGGCGCTTGAAACGCCAGGGTAGTGGGTTAAGTAGCTTTTGACTACTTTAATACACATGTACATTAAATTGTCCCAATAATATGTCCAAAAAGTATTGGGTGAACCATTTAGAAATTACAGCCCTTTTTAAACATATTCCCCCCATTTTAGGGGACCGAAAGTATTGGGACATATTCACTTACATGTGTATTAAAGTAGTCAAAAGTTTAGTATTTGGTCCCATATTCCTATCTTTTATTGTAAAGAAGAATAGAATTTGTTTCTAAACACTTCTACATTCATGTGGATGCTATCATGATTACGTATACTCCTGAATGAATCGTGAATAATGATGAGTGAGAAAGTTAAAGCCGCACAAATATCATACCTTCCAAAAATGCTAACCTCCCCCCGTTATTGTAATGTACAGGAGCAGTGGAGTCTGCTGAGGGGAGGACGGCTTATAATAATGGCTGGAACGGAGCTTATGGAATGGCATAAAACACATGGAAACGACGTGTTTAATTTATTTGATACCATTCCACTAGTTCCGCTCTAGCCGTTACCACGAGCCAGTCCTCCCAAATTAAGGTGCCACCAACCTCCTGTGTACAGGAGGTACCGTAGGTGTTGACTTGGAGGGCTGTCATGATGTTATTATGTCAGTGTTACCATCATGACTAAACCAGTTGGACATTACAAGCATCTATGCCTAATCTGAATCTTAAAGAACCCTACCCCTCTTCATAGACCTCTTTTTCTACACTTCTACACATTTCTGACAATAGAATGTACAAATTCTAGCTTGGCATGGCAACACGACAATAATGAAAGCCAGAAATAAGTAATGAGAGAGGCCTTTTTACTGTGTGATATTTCTTCCATTTCCATGGCTGATCAAAACTTGTTTTCTCAAGCTCTCTCTTGTCTCTCTGCAGCAGACATATGGTGAGCAATATGTTTGGAACATCAAATCACAGCATCGAATCGCAATATACAGTGGGGAAAAAATGTATTTAGTCAGCCACCAATTGTGCAAGTTCTCCCACTTAAAAAGATGAGAGAGGCCTGTAATTTTCATCATAGGTACACGTCAACTATGACAGACAAAATGAGATTTCTTTTCTCCAGAAAATCACATTGTAGGATTTTTTATGAATTTATTTGCAAATTATGGTGGAAAATAAGTATTTGGTCAATAACAAAAGTTTCTCAATACTTTGTTATATACCCTTTGTTGGCAATGACACTGGTCAAACGTTTTCTGTAAGTCTTCACAAGGTTTTCACACACTGTTGCTGGTATTTTGGCCCATTCCTCCATGCAGATCTCCTCTAGAGCAGTGATGTTTTGGGGCTGTCGCTGGGCAACACGGACTGTCAACTCCCTCCAAAGATTTTCTATGGGGTTGAGATCTGGAGACTGGCTAGGCCACTCCAGGTACTTGAAATGCTTCTTACAAAGCCACTCCTTCGTTGCCCGGGCGGTGTGTTTGGGATCATTGTCATGTTGAAAGACCCAGCCACGTTTCATCTTCAATGCCCTTGCTGCTGGAAGGAGGTTTTCACTCAAAATCTCACGATACATGGCCCCATTCATTCTTTCCTTTACACGGATCAGTCGTCGTGGTCCCTTTGCAGAAAAACAGCCCCAAAGCATGATGTTTCCACCCCCATGCTTCACAGTAGGTATGGTGTTCTTTGGATGCAACTCAGCATTCTTTGTCCTCCAAACACGACGAGTTGAGTTTTTACCAAACAGTTATATTTTGGTTTCATCTGACCATATGACATTCTCCCAATCCTCTTCTGGATCATCCAAATGCACTCTAGCAAACTTCAGACGGGCCTGGACATGTACTGGCTTAAGCAGGGGGACACGTCTGGCACTGCAGGATTTGAGTCCCTGGCGGCGTAGTGTGTTACTGATGGTAGGCTTTGTTACTTTGGTCCCAGCTCTCTGCAGGTCATTCACTAGGTCCCCCCGTGTGGTTCTGGGATTTTTGCTCACCGTTCTTGTGATCATTTTGACCCCACAGGGTGAGATCTTGCGTGGAGCCCCAGATCGAGGGAGATTATCAGTGGTCTTGTATGTCTTCCATTTCCTAATAATTGCTCCCACAGTTGATTTCTTCAAACCAAGCTGCTTACCTATTGCAGATTCAGTCTTCCCAGCCTGGTGCAAGTCTACAATTTTGTTTCTGGTGTCCTTTGACAGCTCTTTGGTCTTGGCCATAGTGGAGTTTGGAGTGTGACTGTTTGAGGTTGTGGACAGGTGTCTTTTATACTGATAACAAGTTCAAACAGGTGCCATTAATACAGGTAACGAGTGGAGGATAGAGGAGCAAATTCAACAATGAGTTGTTTGGAAGGAATCAGTGGCTAACTGCAAGCAATGCAAAGCCATCACTAGCCTGCTATTCAGTGGAGTGGGTGTGTGTTCCAAGTCTGGGTTTAAGGGTCTCTTTTACAAGTTTAAAAGGATAAACATTCACATGCCATTGGCCAGAAAATGTCTGGCACCATTTGTCACCGTTATAGTGCTATTAATGTATTGTTTAGCGTTGTGTTGTGTAGTGGCTTTGCTGTCATGCATCTAAAAACATTGGGGGGAGTTAGCCCCACCCAGAGTTACCTGATTCAGTGGGGAAAATCAGCCCCACCCTGATTCCAAGATGGCGTAGTAGTGCAGTTGTGTTTTTATCGTATGTCTGTAAATAGCCTGTAAATACCCTATTTTTCGTACATATTTCCCTATCAGACTTTTCATCCTTCTACAAGATATACTTTCCTGCAACCCGCCTCACTCAATGTGGAACGGATTCTATTATTGACTTACCTTTATCTAGAATCTAGAATCTCCAGTTGAAACTAGCTAGCCAGCTAACTAGCTACTTG